AAGTGGGCTTGGGGTCCAACTTACACGTGCAGGCATCATGACGGATGCGCTAGCGCAACGGCCTTGCCAATTGTGTAGATCTTTCTTTCCAGCGGCCATCAACATTATATCTGGTTTGTTCCCAACATTCAGGATGGCTGGTTGCTGCAGTACAGTACCGCGAGATGCACAATACAAAAGCGGTCAAGCAAGTCCAGCTCTATAGCATTGCTTCAAGTTTTGTCAATAATTTACAACAAAGACGTCTTGTGGAGGTGTGGGGCGCGACTACAGCAACTGCGGCAGCAACGACCACCATGACACATCAGGTGGAACGATTCTACAGCCGGCCGGGGTCGTGTATCCAAAGTCGTCGAAACACTGTGGTGTATTTCGTGTCACATTCACAAACATCGCTGCGGCATTGCAGATCAACGGGTCTTTGCATGAGACCAACACTGCGGGTCCGTCTGTCCCGGCAGTGATGCACAGGGGCATCATTGGGAGCGCCATGCGCCGTGGGGCGCCGGTACACCGTGCCGCACGAATCGCCCTTCTCGCGGCACTCGCGTTGCTCTTGCTGGGTGCCGGCGCAGCAGGCGCCCAAGCGGCGGACCCGCCGGCAGCAAAGCCAGCCGCGGTCGCGGGAAATCCAACCAACGCCGCGAGCACGGCCGCCGCAGCCGCGGCCTTGCCCATGACACCCAAGCTGGTGCTGGCGGCTGCCGTGCCGGTTACACCAGACCCTGCGCCGCAGAAGCCGGCGCCTGCGCCCGCAACCAAGCCCGTCCCGGGGATCCCTCCAGTGCCTGGGGCCGGCCGGCCGCCTGGTGGCGCCGGAGCGCCAGTCACGCTGGCGCCCTTGGCGCATGGCACGCCCGCCGCGGCCGGCGGCGGCGGCGACGGCAGCGCAGGCGCCTCTGCGGGAACAGGCCCGCGCGGCGCCGCGTTGGGGCCCTTCGACGGGCAGCTGCTGGCGCCCATCCAACTATGCGGCGAGCCCGCGGGCGGTGGCGTCGACGCGGCGGTCTTAACCAGATGCAATTCCCAGGGGTGGCTCGGGGGCAAGGGCGCGGAGCGGTACCTGTCTTTCAGCGTGGACCCATCTGACGCGCTGTTCGACATCCGGCTAATGCTGGAGGCGGTGGGGGGCCATGCGACCATGTGAGAGCGGTGCCCAGACGCGGGGGGCGTGTCTTGAGGTGACGGCTTGCTGGGGATTGCGAGCGGCCGAGCGCTGGGAGGCAGCCGATGCGGGGCGGTCGCGCGACGGCGCGCCGCCGGTGGTTTCTCCCCCAGCCAAGCGGTGTCCCACAGCGTCCTGGCGCAGATGCCGCTGATACCACCGCTGACGTCACGGCTGACGTCACTGCTGACGTTGCCGCCGCGCAGGGAACTGTGGCTGCCCGGCGAGCAGGTCGACTTGGTGGCGCCGCGGTACCGCGCTACAAACGTACTGCTCTCGGACATGTCCCAAGAGTCGTACATCAGGGTCAAGTCCCAGGCGGTACGCGTGAACGCGGGGCAGTTCATCATGCGCATCGCATCGGAGCGCGGCGGGCCGCGGTACGCGGTGTCGCTGGCGGTGACACCCAGCCAAGTGCGGCTGGCGGAGGCCGACCGCGCCGCGCTGGCGCGTGTGCACGGCGACTGCTGCCCCGGGGCTGCTGTGTACGCCGGAGGGCCCTGCAAGGCGTGAGTGGGGCCGCCGGGGTTTGCGAGTTGAGGTCGTTCATGAGGACGAAGTAGTCTGGGCGGGCCGCCCAGGACGCAGGGGCGGCTGGAGTAGCGGCTGGGGTGGGGTCCTGCCCAGTAGGGCAAGCTGCCCCCCTGCGATGGATGCATGCGTGGCAGCCCGTCACCTGTATCGAAGGAGTGATACAGGGCCACAGCAGCCGACGGGAGATGCGTCTGGGCAGCCCTCATGCTGTATCCTGTAGGAGCGTCACTACTCTACCTACAGGAGCGTCGAGCTCGCGCCCTCCCATAACCGGAACGCCGCGCCCCCCCCCCTTGACGCATCAGCCTCGGGGACGCGCTCAAGGCCGCGTCGGCGCCCCTCGCGCCCGAGGCCGCCGCCGGCAGCCTATGCCACGTCGACGCTTCCCTCTGCGACGCGGCCGGCCACCTGCTTGAGCTGGTGCTGCGCAACCCGACACCAGGCACCCCCGGCCTCCGCTGCCCCGGGCTGTCAGGGGGCTTTGCCGCGTTTCCCCTGCTGGAGCGGTTGACAATGGACGGCAGCGAGCTCGGCGGCGACGCCGAGGCGGCCGCTCGCGCGCTCGCGCCGGCGCCGGCGCTGGAGTGGGTCGCGCTGCGGGGCGCGGGGCTTGGGGGGCGGCTAACGTGCGGGCTGCTGCTGCGGGGGGTCAGGGTGCTGGATGTTTCCGACAACAAACTTGAGGTGGGCGCTTTGCCGAGGCTGCGTGGGGCTGATTGTGCGGGCAGTTTTGTGTGCTGGCAGCTTGCGCTTGGCGGTGAACGCATGCATCCTTGTTGTGGGCTTGTCCATGCCAGAGTGAGGTGCGAGATCGTGAGGGGCGGGTTGGAGACTTGCAGGCATCAGTGACGCAGATGATGCGCATTTCGCCGAGCACGAGGCCGGGACGGCAGGGCAGGGAATGCTTCGGGGAGAGGGTACGCGGGGGATGATGAGTGCGGCTTCGTCCAGCTGTCCATCGACAGGAGACCTTGGGCGCCCCGTTGGGCAGCCGCAGCGCCGCGTGGCCCATCCCACGCCTCTCAGCCATGACGCACCCAGGCGCCGCGCCCTGGTCTTGATCGTCGCGCCGTGCATCTCACGTGAATCCCCGCAGGGTCCTGTGCCCGGGTGCTTCTTTGACAACGCCCACCTGATGCACCTCTATGCAGCGAACAACCGCCTGGGCGGCGCCCTGCCAGCCATCGGGGCGCAGACTGCGGTGCGCTCGATGGCGCCCCGCATGCATGTTGGGAACAGGAAGGCGCGCCCCGTCGACGCCTGCTGGGGCTGGAGGCTGGAAGGAACCTGCGCACCAAGCTCGCTCCGCGACCGCCACGGCGCTGCTGCGAGCACCAAGCAAAGCGCTGACGCAGCGCCCCCGCCCTCCCCCCGCCGCCCCGCTCCCCCGGCATGCAGCTCTACTTTGTGTCGCTTGCCGGCCAGGCGCCGCCGGGCGTGGACGGTGCCGCTGGGTTCACGGCGCTGCCGCCCAACCTGGCCGCGGCCGCCAACATGTCTTTCCTGGACGTGGCGCAGAGCCGCATCGCGGGGCAGGTCGGCAGCCTCAACGACAACCTGCGGTGCGTCGGGGAGGCGCGCGTGCGCATTTGTGCTTAGGCGCATGTATGTGTGTGTGTGTGTGTGTGTGTGTGTGTTGCAGGGCAGGTTGGCGGAGTTGGTCAGCGTGTGCACGCACACTGACACTCGTATGCAAACACGCGCACCCGTGAGCGCTTGCATTGGTGGAGCCCCCAACTTGCCACCCCCCACCCTGGCTGCCCTTGAACCCTGCGGCCGTGACTTTGCCCTTGCAACGACCCCCCCAGGTTCCTGAACGTGTCGCACAACCAGCTGACCGGGCCGCTGCCAAAGCTTCCGGCGGCCCTGACTCATTTCGACGCGTCCCTCAACAACTTCACGGTGGGTGGGCGGGGCCGCCGGCAGCCAAGATGATTCGAGGCAGCGTTGGGTCAGCGGCAGCAACTGGATCCAAGGAGGCAACGGGGTGCTGCATTGTGCCACGTCGGAAGCGAGGGGACGCCGGTGCTGGGGCTGCGGCACGCGACGCTGCAGGCAGACAGGTCCCCAAGACCAGCGCCCGCGAGCCCGCACGAGCGCACCGTCTGATCCACCTGCCCCGCGGCCGGGCGCGTCGAACCTCGCGGCTGCACACCCACGCGTGCAACCGACGCAGGGCGGCCTGCCAAGTGACCTGTCAAGCGCAGCGTCCCTGATGGTCCTCAATGTGTCCCAGAACCCCGCCCTCGGCCCGACCCGCCTCCCCTCCACCCTGCCCCCCGCCCTGCGCGCCCTGAGCGCCGCGCGGATCGGTCTGGAGGGGCCGTTGGAGGCGACCGCGCTGCCCGACAGCCTGGCGCGGATCGACCTGGCGGACAACCGCCTGGAGGGGAAGCTTCCTGGCTTGGCTGGGGCGGTGGACGTGATCCTGCTGGAGGCGGTGCGTTTGACCGGCGGCGCGGTCACGTTTGACTGCGGCCGCCGTGCCGGGCGCGCCTAGCAGCCGGCCGTCGCCCCGCCCCGTGCCGGCCGATGGCGCCGCTCTTTCGCGCGCAGCCGCCCTGCGCGCCCTCCGGGTGCCTCCCGTGGCCATCTAACCCCCACGGCTGCTCCGCCTCGAAAGACGACACTCCCCCTGCGCCCCACCCATCCACCCCCCTTCCCTGCCCCTGCCCCTCCCCCCACCCTTCAAGGCTGACCTGTCCAACAACCGGTTTTTCGGTGTCGTCCCCACGTCGTTCACGCTGTCCCAGACCCTCAGATACCTCAACCTCAGCGGCAACGCGCTGACCGGCGCAGAAGACCCCGACGGCTGGGACACGCCCGGCCTGGTTACGCTGGACCTCAGCCGAAACG